TGGAGGATTTTTGACGTATGTAATTGAAGTTTATTGAGCTGAAAATAGTTGTTATGTGTTCGCTTATAGTGCAAGCAGACCTTGTCATTTTTTTCTGATTGAGGTTCAATTCTTAGCAGTAGGAATGTCCTAGCATCGCTCAAAGGCTTCATTGAATCGTACTTACCGCAAGGGGTCTTAGACGTCCTTGATGAGATCATGTGTTTGGACAGGGAGGTAGTTACGTAGACTTGCTAGTTTAGTTGCGAATTTAAAAGAAAATTTGAACCAAATATATGGGAAAAAAATTCTTATTATTGGTATTCTTCGATGTTGGTGTGCGGAATAATTAAGGTGAACTTGTCTTTAATCCTGGCATCTTACTTTTCGATGATCAGGCAAAAATATGTAATATATGCCTTAATACCGCAAATACCTTAATCGCCTATTTACTTTCCTCCAAAAGATAATTTCTTAATATATTCCTTTCAGGTACCATACCGGGCAATGCTTGGATCAATATTTATATTGGTTCTTTGTTGGGCAGAACCCATTCTTGCTCAGTCGCAGTGGGGTAATTCTTATTTTGCTCTGTAACATCTGTAACCGAGAAAACACTATTTCAAATGGTTACAGCAAGGTGTGCTGGTGGCTACATGGCAATTATGGTGAATGCCAGTGAAACCATCTACGCGTTGAACAATGATAGTAGTGTATTTGCATTGCCACCAGGCACGCAATGTAATTTTCAGGTAAAACATTTTTTAAGGATTTTTTTGCTTACTCAGTCTTTTTTTTCATTTACAGATTACGCCCATCTCCCTCACAGTGGTATACATTTCGGTCACAGGATCAAATTTTACAAATACTACCGTTGTAGCGTTTTACGAGGGTAATACGGCTAACCCCATATAGTGAGTATTGTCTCGTCAAAAATACACTTTTCCCAAACTCGTGGTATGTGCCTGCTGACCTTATTTCTGAAACAATCTTCCTTTAAAATTGTAATAGTCGTAAGCTAACTCCCTTACTTCAGTATAAATAGCTCAAACCCGATAGAGTACACGTTTCCGCCCAGTGCAGTGCCTTACCTCGTCGTGGTAAAAAGATTACCCAATGAACAGCCAGCTACTTTTGCTATGAAAATTCGTGGAGAACAAGGTTTGTTCTTCGCTTTCATTAATAACGGTAAACTAACAAGCAGAGTACGTTTTCCAGTGTCTCCTGGTGAAATGCTTTA